CCTTCACTCCCTCAAGGACTTACTTCTCAGACCAGTTTACCTGACCCTGCAACTCGCTCTCCTTTCCTCTCCTGTGGCTCTGGCTGCCAAGGTGATTTTTGTAGTATTCCCTGAACACTAAACTTTTGTGCCACAAAAACTCAGGTCCCCACAGGGAAACTCTGCTTCAGACACAGGACCCAAGACAGGAACAGCTCCCCTCATTTCAGTTCACCAGGAGTAACAATCTACATTAAAACAACAATATCTTCTAAGCCTTACAATCTTAAAAGGAAGTGATGTCATAATTATGTACATGTATTAATAATGTATGCAACTAAGAGTAACAGTAACTCAAAAGTAACTCCATCACCTCTTCAAGAAGTCTCTCAAGTATCTTTGGACATTCATCAGGTATGATTCAAAGTATACTTGACAAAAGGCATTTTAAAGTACATGCTTCTTGTCACAGCTGTAGCTCCACTAGTGTAGTCAAATGCATGAAAACTTCCAAGTCGTTTTCCCAGATGAGAGTAAAAAAATATTAAGAACAGCAGCAGTGCTCAATTTTTCAAGTTAGAGAGCATAATCTGATCAATGAAACCACAGGCCTTACATAAGAAAGCCAAAACCCATGTTAAGACTATGCAAATCATATACTCAAGGGAGTAGTAATTTTAGTATTGAATCTTCAATGATTTGTTAAATATACCTGGGGTTTCCTAGTTCTTCAAATTGTTACTTTCCAGAAAACTCAGTTTAAGATTAGTAGAGAAGTTTTTCGTCCTATATATAACCCAGTAATTACATGGGCAATTCAAAAGAGGTTCAAAATTGTGCTGACAACTCAACTTACAGAGGAACTTGGAAATTATTTTCAGAAGCAAGGCTCAAAATATTTTCAGTATAAAAATTCGACACTTGTAATGAAGCATATTCAAAACTTCCAAATTTACTAATCTAATAATTAGAAAAAATTATTTATACAAAATTAAAAAGTAAAATCAAAGTTGTAAAGAAAAATCATAACCAATCATATCCTTGCTCAACTGCACTAATTAAAATTTTCAACATGACAAGTCATATCAAGAAATTCATGTACTTTTAAAAAATTAAGATACAGAGGTCATACAACAAAAACATCTTAGAGGCTTTATTACTTAAGTCACTAAAAGCTATTCCAAGGAATGTGAAACAAATCATGATTTGAACAAACAGCACATTTGTAAGCTTCAGAAGATAAAGCATTCCAGACGACTCTGTCGAAATAAATCAATAAATTTAAAGCAGCAACTAAAATGTGAGGATAAAATACAAGTACGAACCAGAAAGCACTGTCTTAATATTTGCATACAAACCTTAAAATATTTGAACATAAAACATATAATTATAGTCACAGTAACAAAAACAAAGCACGAAGTACAATAAGAGCATTCCAGGATTTCTGTGATTACAGGTTTGATTTCATAAATTCAGGAACTGTAACCAAGTAAAGGTTTTGATAAATCATCAAAATTTCCCAAAATGTCAAGTGTATCAAAAGAAATGCAGAGTCAAATAAAAATATAAACTGAGAGGCATCAGTCAAAGGATCCTTTTTGTGATTTCACTTTTAAATGTACATTTTTTCATTCATATAACTTTCTCAAATGTCTATTTACTATAATTTACTACTACAAGGCTCCTCTATGGCCCTCAGTTACAAGTTTAGATATCCAAGATTCTTCAAAGAAAAAATTTGCCTTGTATGTAAAATGGTGCAATGCAGCAACGGCTAAACCGACAAGGTCATTTTTCTGCAGCACAAAAACCTAAAAACGAAAATTTACTGACACAAAAACTGTAGTTTACAGGAAAGGCCCCTTTGAATTGAGGTACCTTACCTTTTGACTGCTCAAAGAGGCCTTAAAGTCACAACTCAACTTTCATAAATTGCTACCAAAAAATTAGGGTGTGGCATATTAGCAATCTCAAGGTCACGCTTTTAAAAAATGAACCCAAATTGGAAAAAGACTTAGAATAACACAGACAGCAATCCATGCCTGTCAAGGTAAACAATTGTAAGCCGAGGTTTCCCCCCAAAAAAAAGGCAAAAAGGAAGAAAGTTGATAGCTCATACCTCGATGCATTGCTGTGTAGCGAACTGTCCTCCTCTTGGCTTTTGTCCTTATTTCTCATCATCTTTTAATTCTTAAATATTAAGGGGGAGGGGAAATCTGTGTTTGCTTTGAAGTCCTGTGCCCAGGTATTTACTGTCAAAAGTTGAAAGAAAGGTAAGGTCCCAGCTTCTATGGATGGTTTCTATCAGGAACAAAGTCCTGACGATGTTAAATGCTACTGAGATAATGCAACAACGGTAAGCACCAAAAACCAGAATATTTCTATTTTTACTTTAAAAAAAAAAAAACAGGACAAACTGAACACTTATCAATAAGGAAAGTTTCTCAAAGTAACACACTGGATACAAATAACAAATCTCTATCTCATTGCGTCATCCAGGAATTTCTCACTTTTATACAAATTAAAGTAAACTTTAGCATATAAATCTTTGAAATTATCACTAATTATCGTGAACTTACCTGATCCATGTAGTATGTCCAAGGCAAGAGTCCTATCTAGTGGTAGAAAAATATCAGATTCAAAATAATTAAAAATAAAGCCAAAACCCTCCGTTAAAAAACAAAAATTAAATAAAATAATCCTCAAAGATGTGAGCTGGTCAAAAAATAAAGCAATAATTAATTCTAAAACGGGTCCGGAAGAGAAAAAAACCTCATTAGGAGAGCGCACAAAAATGGAGGTGCGCCATGGCTTCTAAGCTGGAAAAACAACGACCTGGGCTCTCAGTGCGGCTGCTTCTTTCCACCAAGGCACGAATAGAAAGCTTCTAAAAGCTGCTTTTCTCCCTAAAAAAGGCTCGAATCGACCCCAGTAAGTCACTAGGAGAGGCAGGGGGCTGCGGGGGCCCCCTGAGGCTGCCCGAAAGTTGGGGAAAGTTGCGTAAAGTGAGGAAAGGCTGGAGCAGAGCGCGCTCTCTCTAAGGCACAGCCGCCATCTAGAGCCTCCTTCCCAGCTCTGAGAGCTCTGCCTTTGATTGACACTCTCTACATTTACCCCACAACTCAGGTGATGTACCATAGACCCACCCCTTCATCTCCACCAAAAAAAAAAAAAAAAAAAA